TTTGATTGTGGATATTTTTGGTCTATTTAATCTTGATATCTCTAATTTTCATAAAAACTGGAACAGAGCATTGTGGCGTCCTGAGGACATCATTATGAACATTACGATAAAGACATCCCTTTTCGTTATGAAACATCTGGAATCAAAAAGATAAAAGTGTAATTTACTTTTATTCATTGGGATTGCCATATTACTTTCAGTTGGAGTGATAACATGCTATTGTACCTTTAAAGGGATCTAAAAATGATTACGTATTCTGCATTTTTCATTTTTTTATGGATTGCTTTTATTGAAAAATATCAATCAACACAATAAAAACAAATTTTAAATGTGGTCAAGTGGCTGAGGCGTCTGATCGACTAAGATCACTAATCCTACACCACTGGGTAGCGGGTTTGATGCCCTAACGGAGAAGTCGCTAGGTAATAATCGCGGGTTTTCCCCGGGTACTCCAGTTCCCCGCCACCACCAAAACCTGTATCGTTCTTTTATCACCATGGCTGTAAATAGAACATGAATCAAACACAAATAAAATCAAGATTTTTTTTTTTACTTTATCTTTAATCTCTGGAAATATGTTTCGTACCACTTAAGCTGCCCTGTATATCATCACAGATACAGTTGTATGTATGTTGATGCAATGTCATCCACGATACCATTATGTTATGAGTCCTTGAAACTAATTTATCTTCTTTGTGAGATGTTGGGAATGATCGATAGTGTAATCTGGTTTAACAAGTGAAATGATTTTAATTAAAAAGAAATTATAATAAGGATCACATAATCCACCAAGATATCGTTAATCATTAAAAAGGCATCAATATGGTGCAAATAGGTAAAGCCATTGAAATGTATTGATCGGAAAGCGATTACGCCTGTGGCACCTACTTTTTAATGCATTATGATTGCATTGTGATAATCCATGAAACCGATTCCTAAATCATCCCGGGAAATTATTATGGAATTAAAAATCGTATTTAATATGGAAATTGTACAATCACTACCAACAATGCCCGAGTAGGTGGAAATTCATAGACATTAATACCCTTATCTTGTATTTTAGTTTGTTATTATCAATGATAATCAAATAATAAGGTTAGCATATGCAGTTCGTCGAAATGCAATTTAATCGATTATTGATCTTTACACGGAAACACGTGAATGAATATGAAAACAGTTTATCAAATATCCTAAACCATCGTCAAAAAAATAGATAAAATTATCACTCTTCTAGCCAGTTAATGTATTGTCGCCTCGTACACGTAAAGTAGAATGCATAACCTTGCTTATTGAACAGATCCATACTCACCGAAAATGTATTGTTTTCAGTTATTCTATCGCATACAGTAAATAAGGAATACACTTGTTGTATATTAAGCTATCGTCATATATACGTGCTTTCGAATAAGCTCAAAAGCGATGAAATCATGTCCAGCTAACATATATCCATAACAGTATGTTAGTATATATAAATTAAGAATATACTGATATCCTTTGCAGGTAATCGAATTCCTTAAACCGACATTTGATGGGCTTTTTGCACTATTTTTACCTTTCGCGAAATTGTGCAAGATTGTGAAACGTAGGCGCATTGAAATTGCGTTTTAAATATTTAAGGGTAGAATGTTGGTCCGTATCAGTGGAATTGTGGTACACGAATTATCACATTAATGCATCGAAAATATTTAATAATGCTACGGTCGTACTGTAGCGAAACGGTATAGCATGTATTCATCTCAATATTCTAAAGAGGAACACTTGTATATTTTTCGATTTTATACATTGAATTCAAAACAGCTGTCTTAATTTATTTGTCATGAATATGAGTATATACTCAGGAAACTATTTTCAAAATAAACAAAAGACGATATTCGCCACATCAATCGAGAAAAAACATTTTATATTTGAATCACTTTTTATGACTTCGAGGCGTCAGGTTGCCGTTTATCTGTTCCCCGATACCGATGTGTCTTCATGTAGATACAAAGCTTCATCTGACAGAAAGTATCGACTACATCCGGAACTCTGAATGTGATTGATATATCAAATGAATTCTGAATGTGTATTGCATAACACTGGTGGCAGTATATCCCATGCCTCATTATTGTGTGACTGTTTCTATGCTGTGCGAACAGCCTATTTGATACGTTTTTTCTGCTGTCAATACTTGTTCGTATAACGTTATTAGTTTTCGATCAGGATTCTCATGAAAAAAAAATCATATCTATATTTCCAACTGGGCATATCAAAGAATTATTCCTATTTTGATTTCCATTTAAGGATTTCTATCAATCTTCGGAATATCCTATTAGAAATGGATTAATACGATGTATATTCATGCATGCATCATTGTCGGGAAGGGCAATGATATGAGCAATGTGTTATCGCCTTACTGTCATCCTCATACACGTTTCGTTATATCAGTTTACGGATCCCTGTCCCGAAACAATTAAAATACTGGAAAACTACTATGTAGATTTGTGTACATACCATTAATCTTCCCGTAGTTTCGTTTGGATGTAACTGATCGGACCAAGGTACTACCGTTGAACAGTTAGCAAATTGATTAGAGCTACAGTTTAATTGTTGGCGAATCAGAGCTTGAATCCCGGCCTGGATCAGTTGCATTTATTTCACTCAGAGCGTTGTTCACGATACGTTTTGCTTATTTTATGTTTAAATATTATTTTTGCAAAAGAAGGTTCCGCAAAATTAAGGTTTTTTTCCAAGAATGATTTATCAAAACTTTCTTTTTCACAATATGATTGCATTGCATTGTGATTACTCCCAAGCGATCCGTAAAAGGTCCTTGCAAATTAATGTGGAATTAAAAACCGTATCTGTCATGGAAATTCTGCATGTAATCCTATCAGTGGTGGAAAGTACTGTAAGAACCAGCCTGGAATAATATAAGCCATGTGTCTGGGTCGATCGAACTCTAATATACAGTAAAACCTCGATGCAATGCCCCTCGTTTATATTCAGTAAAACCTCGATATACTGCCACTAGATTATCTACAGTAAAACCTCGATATAGTGCCCCTCGTTTATATACAATAAAACCTCGATATAATGTCCCTCGTTTATATACAGTAAAACCTCGATATTATGCCCTCATGTATATACAGTAAAACATCGATACAAAGCCCCTTGTTTATATACACTAAAACCTCGATATAATGCCCTTCGTTTATCTACAGTAAAACCTCGATATAATGCCCCTCGCTTAAATACAGTAAAACCTCGATATAAAGCCCTCGCCTATATTCAGTAAAACCTCGATATAAAGTCCCTCGTTAATACTGTATACAGTAAAACCTCGATATAGTGCCCCTCGTTTATATACAGTAAAACCTCGATATAGTGCCTCTCGTTTATATACAGTAAAACCTCGATATATTGCCCCTCATGTATATACAGTAAAACCTCGATATAATGCCCCTCGTTTATATACAGTAAAACCTCGATAAAGTTCCCCTCGTTTATATACAGTAAAACCTCGTTATAGTGCCCCTCGTTTATATACAGTAAAGCCTCGATATAGTGCCTCTCGTTTATATACAGTAAAACCTCGATATATTGCCCCTCATTTATATACAGTAAAACCTCGATATAGTGCCCCTCGTTTATATACAGTAAAGCCTCGATATAGTGCCTCTCGTTTATATACAGTAAAACCTCGATATAATGCCCCTCGGATATATAAAGTAAAACCTCGATATAATGCCCCTCGGATATATAAAGTAAAACCTCGATATAATGCCCCTCGGATATATAAAGTAAAACCTCGATATAATGCCCCTCGTGTATATACAGTAAAACCTCGATATAAAACCTTCGTTTATCTATAGTAAAACCTCGATATACTGCCACTCGATTATCTACAGTAAAACCTCGATATAGTGCCCCTCGTTTATATACAGTAAAACCTCGTTATAGTGCCCCTCGTTTATATACAGTAAAACCTCGATAAAGTGCCCCTCGTTTATATACAGTAAAACCTCGATATAATGCCCCTCGTGTATATACAGTAAACCCTCGATATAAAAACCTTCGTTTATCTATAGTAAAACCTCGATATACTGCCACTCGATTATCTACAGTAAAACCTCGATATAATGTCATTCGTTTATTTACCAATTCGTTTAACACAAAATAATTTTAGAGTATTCTTTTCCTTGTAGTTCACAATTCCATCATAAATTTCCCTCGGTAAATTGCCAAACTCAGGCATAACGTCAAAATTTGTCTGGACAAAGGCTGGCATTAAAAGAGATTTACTGCGTATCATTTAAATAGCCCCAATACACAAGAACTTCGTTGTTAGTGACACTTTAAACGGCTTTGATTTTGATAACTTTGTCATTTTCACCTCTTTGTGAAAAATAAGCCTTCTTTGGTGTTCCGATTTAGTGTATCACTGAATAACAATATTGTCCGCCGTCATGTTCAAGTCAATGTCGTTTTCTATTACTGTACTAACGATCTCATTATGAAGTTTTGGGGGAAATGCATTCAATTGTCAACCTTTTTCTGATTTGACTTTTAGAAAAGAGTAGATATAAAACCAAATTCAAATTTAGTTACTGTAAAGTTTGTTTTTGTTTGCAGGAGTGAAATTCGCGTTGTTGGACCGATATCAAATTTGCAATATTTATATTTCGTACTAGACTGCAAACTAAGTTTGATCAATTGTGATTTTTATATGGTAAATAGTTTTCAGAAGTTTACAATTCGAGTATGAGGTCACATCGGGAATAAAGTGAAAATGAAACCCTCGTAATTTTTTATCATGGCAATGCTTATGACTATAAATAACCTTGATGTTGATAAAAGTAATATTGATCATGAAGCGTTACAATAGTATTTTGTATTATTTAGCAAATTATGATATATCATGTGGCAATATTACTCAATGAAATTTATCGCATAAAATGTAAAATGACGGATCAACAAAAATAAGGTAAATCCGATAATGTTGTTTGTTTTCTTGTTCGAAGGTATTAACAGAGATGCCTTCCCCAAACCAGTTCCGGAAACCGGAAGGTACTGCGTACCAGGATATTAGTGGCACATTCAGCATCATCGTGGAGCTTGTAATGGTGGTGGTCAACTTCCTTCCTCTAGTTGTGATCATCAAATGGAAGAAATATCGGGAACGAACGACGACAGATGATCTTGTTATCGTTCTAAGTGTTTCCTACATCGTATCTGTTCTTGTGCCAACTCCTCTCGGACATATCAGCTACTTCCATCAAAAATGGTACGGCGGGAAACCGAGTTGTAACTTTTATCAAGTGACTAGCACGTGGTTTCGTCTGACGTCACTCTTCCTTGTCACTATCCTCTCCATCGACAAATCGTTCGCCGTTTATCTATATAGGGCCCGCAATTTCACAGCACGTTACCACGGAAAGTTCAAAATAGTGGCTAGCGTGGCAGTTATTATATTATTTACTCTTATTGTATCATGTATGCCTGTCATGGGGTTCGGCCCCGATTCATCTACCGATACTCGATGTGAATCTTGGATCAGTGCTTCACCGAAAAAAAGGCGGGAACACTTATTTTCGTATTTATTTTTATTTTGTGGATTTGGAAACTTTTTATGTGTGTGTTTGACGAATTTTTACATGTCATGGAGTTTGAGAAAGTTAAAGAAAAACCTGTATGCAGGAGGAGATCGCTACAGATCAACTTCCAGCCAAAGTGCCGTGAGATGGCAGATCGAGGGCATTGTCGTCCTGCACGGCGTCAAAATGGTTATGGCGGTATCTGTGCTTCTATATATAACGTGGTTTCCTACACTGGTGAGTATTAAACCACAAAAGAGTAATTAATGAGTTTTATTTCAGAGTAAAAGAAATGTAAAAGTGCAAAATGAATTTAATGACCTGCTATTTCACATGTAACTAATTAGCTGTACATTCGCGTTATAGCATAGCAAGCTCCAGTTTTATGACCTTATGTACATTTTATGAATATGCAAACACTGAGTATCGAAAAGGCTTAAACGAAATGTACGTGGAAGGTCATCATGACCCAAAGTCAAGCTATGTCTTTTCATAAAACGATAAAGTCTGTTGTGTCCTTGTCTGTAGATGCTGCAGTCTTTTTTTGTCCTTGTGTCCAGACGCTGTAGTCTATTTTGTCCTTGTGTATAGACGCTGTAATCTATTTCGTCTTTGTCTGTAGACATTGCAGTCTTTTTTGTCCTTGTGTCTAGACGTTGTAGTCTATTTTGTCCTTGTGTGTAGACGCTGTAATCTATTTCGTCCTTGTCTGTAGACGCTGCTGGTTTTTTTTGTCCTTGTGTCTAGACGCTATAATCTCTTTCGTCCTTGTCTGTAGACGCTGTAGTCTATTTTGTCCTTGTGTGTAGACGTTGTAATCTATTTCGTCCTTGTCTGTAGACGCTGCAGTCTTTTTTGTCCTTGTGTCTAGACGCTGTAGTCTATTTTGTCCTTGTGTCTTGACGCTGTAGTCTATTTTGTCCTTGTGTCTAGACTCTGTAATCTATTTCGTACTTGTCTGTAGAAGCTGCAGTCTTGTTTGTCCTTGTGTCTAGACGCTGTAGTCTATTTTGTCCTTGTGTCTAGACACTGTAGTCTATTTTGTCCTTGTGTGTAGACGCTGTAATCTATTTCGTCCTTGTCTGTAGACGCTGCAGTATTGTTTGCCCTTGTGTCTAGACGCTGTAGTCTATTTTGTCCTTGAGTCTAGACGCTGTAGTCTATTTTGTCCTTGTGTCTAGACACTGTAATCTATTTTGTCCTTGTGTGTAGACGCTGTAATCTATTTCGTCCTTGTCTGTAGACGCTGCAGTATTGTTTGCCCTTGTGTCTAGACGCTGTAGTCTATTTTGTCCTTGAGTCTAGACGCTGTAGTCTATTTTGTCCTTGTGTCTAGACACTGTAATCTATTTCGTCCTTGTCTGTAGACGCTGCAGTCTTTTTTGTCCTTGTGTCTAGACGGTCCAGTCTATGTTGTCCTTTTGTGTAGACGCTGTAATCAATTTCGTCCTTGTCTGTAGACGCTGCAGTCTTTTTTGTCCATGTGTCTAGACGCTGTAGTCTATTTTGTCCTTGTGTGTAGACTAATCTATTTCGTCCTTGTCTGTAGACGCTGCAGTCTTTTTTGTCCTTGTGTCTAGACGCT